AAGAAGTATTTGTATTTTATGAATTATGTTCTTGCATTTGGCCGCAGCCCTCAGATAGATTTTCATTTTGGAGAAAAGGTTTGGTCACATATGTATATAAACTGAAACAACTGGACCAGTGCATCATAAATTTAACATTAATTAATTATTTTAATACAATACAGTCATTTTAAAAAAAAATTGGGGAGGTCACCTTCTAATAAATGTCCTTACAGAAAATCTAACTGCTCATTTTAAATCAATACTTTGACTTTTAATACAAAAAATACAAAAGTACAAAAAATAACAGATACTTTAATACTTTTACTCAAGCAATATTCATAAAGGAGACTTTAACTTTTACCAAAGTAATCCTTTGGTAAGAACTTGTACTTTTACTCAAGTATCACTTTGTGGTACTTTATACAACACTGAATATAAATGTAAATAAGAAAAACAATCAAAGTCAGAGTTTTGTCAACACCTGAAGCTATCCTATGTTTCTAGAAAATATTTAAAACCTTTAATAAAAAAACATAAATATAGAGTCAAACTTTTAATATCTACAGAACACGTGAAAATACATTATTCCAGATATTATGAAAATAAAAACTTTAAAGTTTTTTATTCTCGTCTGACTGCCGCCATCTTGTGTTTGTTTTGAGGAGGTGCCGAAAGGCTCGACGGGAAWTGTAGTCGGAATGAATTAATTACTTCCTGTTTCGAAGACGACCAGGATATTTTGGCTAGCAGCTGAGGAGWGTTTTAACCTTCCAATAACGACCATTTGGAACTCAAAAAGTTGATTCAGATACAGAGTAAGTGTGTGTTTTAATAATTTAATGATTTATGATCTGTAACAAATTAGAAAATTAGCTAACTTTTTGACGAAAGTGGGAGTTTTGTGGGTTAGGTGAGGAACTCAGCTCGAGTTTTGTTTTATACTTTTCTGTCAAAGTTGTCAAAACGGTCTTTATATTAAAGTCAGAAGTGGATGTCATTTATTACTTTGTTATGAGACATATAGATATTTTGTAAAGTATTTAAATGTGATAAAGTTGATATAAAATGACTGACAGAGGTAGCTGTTCTCAGTTTGATRAAATTAAAACTTTTGTTCTTGTTGTGACCCACAATCAAAACTGAATAAAACTACTGACTGAAATTAAGTTTTCATTAAGGTTAATAAACACCTGACATGTTAATAAGTACTGTTTTATTGGTTACCAGAATATGTAAAGTATTTTACCATATACAGTTAGGATACTTTTATATTTTTAAAGGAACCAGTTAATCAAAATATAATTGTGACACTTTTTATATCTTTGGTTTTGTATACTTTTAGGAAACTGTTTTTTATAAATAGGTTTATTTAAAA